GCATACGTACGTGATGTCCTGCTGTCCCTCCTGCAGCAGGGCCCGGTACTGAGCGATCTCCTGCTCCAGGCGCGTCTTGATGCCCAGCAGCATCTTGTACTCTTGGTTCTGAGTCTCCATCTCGCAGCGAATACTGGCCAGCTCCTCCTCGACAGAGTTAATCTGCCCTTGGAGCTGCTGCAGCAGGCAGCCGTAGCGAGAGTCGGTTTCTGCCAGGGAGTTTTCCAGAGAGCTTTTCTGCAAGGCAAGATACGGGAGCTTAGGACGGGAGCACTGGCAGGGGCTGTGTTTGGAGGAGGAGAGGACCCCACGATGGTGCCCACGTACCGTGCTGAGCTGGGCCTGCAGTTCGATCTCCAGGTTCTGCATTTCGCGCCTCAGCTCGGTGACCTGGTGGCTGCTGGTCTGGATGTCCTGAGTGCTGGTGGTGACCTGACGATTGACTTCCTCAATCTGCCAGAGACAAAAGGCAGAGAGACCTTCTGAGTGAGGAGYYCRTRAYRGGGGASATGGGCTGGCTGAGGAGCAGGACAAGCAGAGTGTCTYCCCTGCCAGGTCTAYGTACCTTGACCTCATACCACTGCTCAACCTCCCTGCGGTTCTTGTCGATGATCTCCTCGTATTCGTTTCKCAGGTCATTTAGGATCTTGGTCAAGTCTGGTCCCGGAGCGGCRTTGACCTCCACGCTCACGTCACCACCGGTCTGGGACTGCAGCTGCCTCATCTCCTGCAGGGAGTCCAAGGAGAGCGGCAAAGAGAACAGGTCACTCGTTCATTCATTCACATGACATAAGTCGCAACTGAGTGGGTACGTAAATGTTGGGAACCCTGGAAGATGAGGAGAAGATTTCCTGAAGACCCCATTCACCCAGCATTGTCTCTTACCTCTTCGTGGTTCTTCTTAAGAGCGATGAGCTCATCCTTGAGGGATTCCAGATCTGTTTCCAGRGAAGCCCTCAAGAGAGTCAGGTCATCAAGGAGATTTCTCAAGCCGTTGATATCGGCCTCCACKGTCTGACGGATGACCAGCTCRTTCTCGTACCTGTAGTGYACAAAGGAGAGACAGAGGAGAGGGGAGATGAGGTGGGAGGAGCTGTCCACRGCCCTCCCCCTTGCTACGTGKGTTGGCWGTAGAAGAACATGGGGTCTCGGTCACTGYGCTGGGGCAGTGCCTCGGGTCSCGCCTCCCKTGAGSAGGACACGGAGGACGCGCACGGTTCACTCACTTCATGCGGAAGTCATCGGCGGTCATCTTGCTGTTGTCGATGTCCAGCAGCATTTTGTTGTTGTCCACAGTGGCAGAAATGATCTGCAAAAGAGTGAAGTTGGGGTGGATTCTGCTGGCCCCCAAGTCAAGGAGAAGAGGGAGAGAGGAGATGCAAAGCCTTGGTTGGGCTTTCTGGAGGAGCTTGGCCTTCTGTCCT